ATCATTGAAAAAAAAAAAAAAAAACCTCATATAACTCCCTATTGTTCAATTACTTGCATTTTCTTTAAGTTCTTAATGATATTTGTTAAGGGTAAAAACTACATTTAGCCCCTCTTTGATAGAGATTAAAATTAGATATTTAGTGAATTTTGAAGTTGATGAAATATGTGGTTGTGAGTCCCATAAAATATGTAATTAAGATTAATGGTTGATTTTCATAAAAAAAATTATATTTTAATTTCTATCAAATATGGGCTTAATAAAGATTAAGTAAATGTACAACATAGAGCACTAAATTTTAATAGTATTATTGTCTTTTCAATCAAATTCTTCGAAAGTTAAAGCACTAAAGACTCGAATGGTCAAGAAAATACTTTGATATAAAGAAACAAATGCTATAGGTTGAAGACCTCAGTGCAATTTTTGCTTTATATTTTTCAGTATAAAATACACTTTGAGGAGGAGCATGGGTGCTGTGTTGAGCCATATCCAAATATAAAAGAACACAAAAATGCTGAATGTACAGAAATTTTGTGCTAGAAATTGTACAGAATAGTCACATGGATGTGGTCCCACCCGATTTAAATATAATTTTAAAAAGTGGCCCCCACATATTTGTGTCTTCCCTTTTTTTTTTTTTTCGTTTTTGTATGCCAAGAAAGGTTCAAAAGAATAATTATGCTCTACCAGGCCAGTAAAAGGCTTGGTAGAGCAATTGCTCTCACATGAGGTAGGTCCCGAGAACCTACCTCATTAACCCCCGCCCCCCAAATGTTAAATACCCATCTCCATCTCACATTTGCTGTACTAGGCCTGTAAGCAGAGCAGCTCAGCAATATAAAAACATGAACCTTCTTTGCCATACAGAAATGAAAAAAATGGGGAAGCACAAATATGTGGGGTTCACTTTTTTAAATTATATTTAAATCAGGTGGGACCACATCCATGTGACTATGCTGTACAACTTCTGGCACAAAATCTTTGTACATTCAACATTGTTGTAAAAACATACTCGTGACTTTGTCACCTATTTATAAATTTTGTCTTATGCTCCATTAACAAATAGTCATGCTAGTTGTACAACCTCGTTTGATAACCACTCATATAGGGGGTCCACTTTTTTTTTTTTAAACATGCGAACCCCGTACACATGTGAGAGGTTATCAACCGAGGTTGTCACCTCGATTATACAAATAGAATTTTCCATTAATAAATGCAATTACCAAAGAAGGAATGAATGGACATGAAGCAATGGTAATGAACTCCCATCACTTCCTGATCCTCCTTTGCCCTTTCCAAAGCCATATCAATCCCTCTCTTCAGCTAGCCAAAAACCTGGCACGCAATGGTGTAAAGGTCACCTTAGTCACCACAAACCGTGGCCTCAAACAAATGAAATCTCTTCCAACCCTCAAGGGATTGTCGTGTGCCTCTTTTTCCAATGAAAAGGATGATGATTACCAATCCCACAATGGTTTTTATAGCTATGTTGAGAGTTTGAGGAGCATAGGCTCCCAAATTCTCATGAATCTTATCAAGAAGTTTTCGGACGAGGGCCAACAGGTGACCTTTCTAGTGTACCGCATCCTCCTTCCTTGGGTGGCTGTGGTGGCGCGTGAACTTCAGGTACCGTCTGCTTTTCTTTTTATACAGTGTGCAACCGCTTTTACCATTTATCACCGCTTCTTCAATAGCCAAGAAGGTATACACGGCCGAATGGATCCCTCGGTTTCAATAAAAGTACCAACGTTGCCATTGTTTTCCTCTAGTGACTTACCCACATTTCTCCTTCCGAATAGTCCCTCGAGTGGTTTCTTGATCCCTGTGATGAAAGAACATATACAGGTCTTGCCGTCTTGGAACAATATCCCAGATCCTTTGTTCTTATTAATACCTTTGAAGAATTAGAACAAGAATCAATCAAAGCTATAGCCAATATGAATGTTATTGCAGTTGGACCCTAAATGCCATCAGCTTTCTGTGATGGAAGTGACCTAACAGAAAAATCATTTGGAGTCGATTTATTCAGTGTATCTGATGATTATTTTCAGTGGTTAGACTCGAAGCCTGAGCATTCAGTGATCTATGCGTCATTTGGAAGCTTGGCAGTGTTAAAGAAAGAACAAAAAGAAGAGATATTACATGCATTAGTGGAGAGTGGGAGGCCTTTTCTTTGGGTCCTCAGAT